GAAAATCTTTCTAGTGCCTAGTGGCTCAGTAGTTGAGCATTGACCCATGAACCAGGAGGTCACAGTTCACTTCCCCATAGGGGCACATGCCTGGATTGCTGGCTCAATCCCGTGTGGGGCGTGCAGAAGGCAGCTGATCTATGATTCTCTTATCATTGATGTTTCTCTATCTCTCTCTCCCTCTCCCTTCCTCTCTGAAATCTGTACTTTGTTCTTCCAGAAAACTTCTACTTATCCTTTAAAACCCAGCTCCAACACCATCTCCTCAGTAAAACCTTCCTAGTGTTCCTTTCAGTCCATCACTCTCACCTTTGTGATCTCACCGTGGTTAAGCCTTTATCTGATGGTGTTGTAACTATCCTTGTCAATATGTTTCGGTATCATTTCAGGTCTTTAGGCACTTAGGACCCACTTCCTCAATTGTTAATCCCCAGCAGGCTACTTCCCCTTGCTAACCCTGTTTCCTCCCCTATAAAAGGCAGGTGATAATAGTTATAATGCTATGGGATTGTTCCAAGAACTAGAATTTTTAAAATAAATTTATGTTCATGAGGGTTTAAATACAGAACTTAGCAAACAGTGGGCAACTGATACGTGTTAGTCATAACATTATCAATTCAAGGGCAAGAACGTCCTTTATGTCTGTGTTCCATCACCTACTTTGATACATAAAACAAATAGTAGAGACTCAACCAATGTTTGTTAGATAAGAAAGCTAACAAACAAAGCAAGAGTCTTGTCTATTTCTCTGTAGGAAAGAATAGGCTAAAAGAAGGAAAAGAGAAATAAGAGAAGTGGAGTCACTAACTGACACACTTCTCTGCATAAGATAAATGGTTTTAATTAGCTAAATTAATATTCCAGAAGGAGGCTCGGAGGCCTGCTCCCCTTTGCTCTCATTAACCTAGATCGCTGCAGGAAGCCCGCCTTCCTGGTAGGCGGGAGGCTGTGGTTGGCGGCACATAGTTCATAAAAGTGTGACTGATATATCCTGGCCACATGACTTGCGGCAGATAATGACAATCCAGTTGAAGTCCTGATGACTGATTATTTTTCTGCAACTTAAAGTCACGAGATGTTTATGCCAATCAAAATAGCTTCCTAAAGAAAAAAAGCTACTATCCACCGAGTGCCTATCATGTGCAAGGCTGCACTGAGGCACTTTACATACATTACTTCTAATCTGCCCGCAACCCTTGGCAAGGTAGGCTGATTCCAATTTTACGGAGGAGAGAATAATTTGAGAGAGGTTAAGTAATTTGCCTGCCAAAGAGCAAAGGCTTCACCCTATGTCTATGTGAATCTAAAGTTTCCAGCACCATAATACCTCGACTTCATTATTTATGACTATCTTATCATATCGAATGAACATGAAAATTGGGATAAATATGTAAAAATTAGAAGTAGGATTGAAACACTGGAGAATCTTTTTCAATGCCACCCTCTTTGTGGCTTGACTCTTGCTGACTGTTGAAAAGAAAATTAAGAAAAAACAAAATAATAAGAAACAGAGGGATTTTTGTTGTTTTTTAAAGAATGTGAAGGGCAGAGGAAAATAAGCAGAATTAGGAGAAATTTAAATATAAACAAGCTTATATATCCCAATAAAGATGTTAAGCTCAGGACTAAAAAATAAAATACAAATTAAATGAGATTTTCTAAAAAGCATATGAAGCCAGAAGACAATGAGATGAAAGATGAAATCTGCAGACTAAAATACAGGGTGGGGGGAAAGTAGGTTTACAGTTGTGAGTATGCAGAACAGTTTATTCTTGTATTATTTTCCACAGAAAACCTATAAACCTACTTTTGCCCCACCCTGTGTTAGGGACAGAAATAGAATATTGGAGACAAGCTACTAGTTATAAGAAATATTAAGCATGGTCTGTTAACCACGATTGGAGAAAGCACTTTCTAACCTGGCGTGGAGTTGTATGCCCCAGGTACCTGGCAGTCAACCTTGGACCTGGGAGTCAACCTTGGAATGTGGTCCATTCGCATCAGAGAACTGTCTATTATCATGGAAAGATTAACAACCTTGTTGCTTAAACAATGGAGTCCTGCCCCAGCACCCTCCATTGCCTGTAATCTGTAACCATTATACCCTTTCTGATTCCCTTTGCCTATTTCCCCATGTAATCCTTGTCCTAACCCATATAAGCATCTGGCTTATGGGGGTGGCAGAGAAGTTTTTTGTGGATGACCTGCTACTCTCCCATACTGCTGGCATTATCAGAATGAACACTCACACATGACTCAACCCTGTCTCTGCTTAATTGGTTGTCTGATTTCATCTGCATATACCTTAGTAAGAAAAAAGACTAAAACCCATTAAACGACAAGATGACACATAAAAGTAGATATGATTAAGAACTAAAATGGTTTTTTTTAATCAAATAAATACTTTTTTTTTAAACGAGAAAATTAAGAGAAAAAGAAAACCAAAAAGTTTGAAGGGGAAAGAAATAGAGGAGATTAAAGGGTTAAGGAAGACAGGCAGGAGCCAAGACCAAAGTGAGCAGCACCAACAAGTCCATTCAGACTCAGGGTCCTCAGGTGCCCTGGCCGGGAGAAGAGACAGTGACCACCTTGGGCAGCGGCCACCACACACAGACTCATGTCCCTAGACTCTCCCTTTCCTCTGGGGCTCCAGGGCCAGCTACATAATGAGCAGTTCCCTAGAAAATGAGTGCAAGTGGCTTTCTGCTGCTCACTGATGGCTGCAGGGCTCCTGGGGGCCCTGGAGGCTCTAGGCGCCCACTATTCCCAGAGACAGAATTAAGCAGTGCTCAAGTGCTTGGGCTCAGGCATGAAGCTAAGTTGCAGTTCCCAGCCACCGCTTTGCTAAGATTTGAAGTGAACAGATTATCTTTTACCAGAGGTCTATCTTCTTCTAAAACACAATGACTTCTTTAATAACTGACTTTTTAAAAAATTGATTTTTGAGAGAGGGAGAGAAACATTGATGTGAGAATCATCGATTGGGTGCTTTCTGAAAGTGTCCAAACTGGGGATCAAACCTGCAACCTGGGTATGTGCCCTAACCCGGAATCAAATCCAAAACTACTCAGTGTACCAGATAACGCTCCAACCAATGGAGCCACACCAAGCAGGGCAATGACTGACTTCTTCACTTCATTTTACTTTACAATTCTATAGACTCAAAACAAAACCTCTCTGACTAAAGTACCAGCAGAGAGTATATGAAGTGTAAGGAATATTCTTGGAACTACCAGTAAAACCAGAAGTGACGTATGTTGATTCAATGCTCAAATTCTTAGCCAAACAATCATCATGCTAGTGTAGGCTCGGCCACTCCCCAGCTGAGAGACCTTGAGCAAATTATTTTTCTAATTTGCACAAGTGTATAATGAGTACCCCTCTGAGAGCATTGTTGAAAGGATTGAGTACAATAAAGAAGATAACGTTTGGTATAGAGCCTGACATATTTCAAGTACCTATTAAGTGGTAGGTGCTAGTACTTTTATTCTTGTTGCAATATGTAAATTAGTAAAGGGGACAAAATTAGTTTGCAATTCCTTTGAAAAATTAGACATCTAGTTTTGTAGCTCCTTTATTATATTTTTAGAAGAATTTACTGTGTGCTACTGCTATGTTTTGGTTTAAATGCCATCTATAATAATAAAAGGGTAATATGCTAATTAGACTGGACGTCCTTCCAGATGAAGCTGGGGCTGCAAGGGCCAGCCCCTTGCACAAATTTCGTGCGTCAGGCCTCTAGTCTATTTATAAAGATTGATATTTCAGCTGAAAAACATTTAATGAATCTTTCAATCTAATAAACATTTCTATCTATCATTATTGTTCCTGGGTGTTCTATATGGTAGCTGTCAGCCTTTTTAATAGAGTATCAGAAGATCAGTCATTTTTTGCCTAGTAAAATCAACTGAGAAAGCCATGTGGCTGTGACTGCCAAAACGCTTTTTAAAAAGCTTGGTTCTGACATGATTTTGAAATGGTTATGTAAAAATATTCAACAAACTATTCAAAAATTGATCATCACTAGTCTCTTATGCTCACACAACATTGATTTGCTTGAAATTAACTATGCTTTTAAAACATTTCTAGGAGACTTTGGTCTTAGAGTTTCAGAAGCACCTAACAGAGAAATGGGTGAAAGATTGATGGGGCAGCATTTTTTCTTTTCCCAAAGCAGATAAAGATTTTGGTGTTTTGTTATTTCTTATTTCAAACAATGATCTATATAACATTAAAAGCCAGGATACCCAATAGCATTTCGGAATGTGTTCAGAAAAATTTTACCAGTTAAAATGTCTTTAAAAATCTGACTTCTGAAGCCTTCTGAGAAACTGCACACTCAGGAAACAGTAACGCCATCAGGGAAAGGATGAAGACTCCAGTGGCCATAAGAGATGAGGGGTGGTCTGTTGCCAATATTTGAAAAACACTTACAGTTCACTTAATTAGCCTAATTACATGGTGCTCTTTCAGCTTATTATTAATGCCCTCTGACAGAGATATGTTACCCTGGCCTTGAACGCATGCTGGCCACAGTGTGTTGAGTTGAACTTGGATAACATCCAGGAGCTTCCATCAGTCCCATACATTTTGGAACAGAGCATCCGTGATATGCATGAAGTGCATGTCGGTTAGAAAACGTGATGTTCTTAAACATTAAAGTTTTTGGCTTGGTGCATTTAGCTAATTAATGTGTTTCTATGATCATTGGGAGACTCAAAGTGACATAATAGAAAATTCCCATTCCATACCATTCAAATGATAATTAAGGCAGCCATGAATTAATCCCCAAACCCAGAACCGTTCACTCATCCTTCAGCTATTTAAGGACTGCTCAAAATCAGCTTGAAGCAGTTAGCATGTGATAAAGCATTTTCACCAAAAAACACCCTAATTTTATTACCCTGTGAAGCAATCCTCATCTACATTCAACATGTCAGTACCTTTTCATACTGATGTTTGAGAGTTAATGCAACAACTTCATGGAAAGAGAAATAATATCTGGAACACAGGTAGTTTTTTTTTATTTGTAAAACACTGCAGGAATAACTGTCTTTAAAGAAAATTTCAGTATCAATAAAATACGAAGAGCTGTTTTCATTACAAAAATTCAACTTGTATGCATTCTTTCAAGTTTTTCTACTTAGGTTATAACCACAATAAAATTCTTAGTGAGTTCAAGTTCTTTACAAAACGTTCTATCCCATGAGAGCATCATAAAGGTCAGTTTGAAGCCTGAGGTTCAAAGTTGAATTGATGGAAAAGTACATTTTCTCCTTTTTCATTTAAATAAATACATAAAGCCAGGGTCCTGAAAACAGTTATAATACACATGAATATTTCTTTGAAATTTGGTAATGAATTTGTGCGTGATGGTTTTTTTGCGGGGGAGAGAATAGAGATGGGAATTTTCTGTCAAATAATTGTTCCTTTACTTTAAAACCAGTTGTTCATACTGGTTAAAATATTACATGGAGCTACCCTCAAATAAACGTGGATGAGTTGTACTTGACAACACATTTAAGTAATTTTACACTTGTATGGATGGATTCTCTTCCACATAAATGATTTTAAAAGCCTGTAAGATGAATGTATACAGTTGTTTTCTTTTGTAAATAGAATAAACAGGACTAAATTTTAAAATAAGTCAGTCTGAATTAACCTGTATGAAGCTACAGCTAAAGCCAATGTTAACAAGCATTCCTTTTTAACAGACCAGTAGAGTAACTGTCCCTGGGAAGAGTTACAATAACGTGACTTTATAAAAGTTCACAGTTGTGACTATCACACAGAGAAACAATCAAGGATGTAGAAATTGTATATCCAGGTGAAGTCTGGGCAGACCCAGAGAACCTACTGGGGTAATAAACAGAGTAATGCATCAGACAGTAGATTAATAATTTTAAACTTAAGAAACTAACTTGTACTAAGAAGCCTAGATGGAATTTAAGGCAACATTTCTATGTGTTTTTTTTTTTTTTTAAATCAGTTTTAAAGACAATTTTTCTTTTGGTGGCAAAGATGAATGATAGCTTTCAGATTCTATTCTCTAATATAAAGACTCATAATAAATTACTTTTTCTAAAGAGAATATTAACTGTTTATATACCACATACTTGTTCACATCATACCAGTTTTAAGAACTGCTTCAAGAGAAATAGCACTCATTGAATAATCAATGTTTTTTTTAAAAAAAAATTGGTAATTCATTACTGAACCAACCTAATCCTACTCAGTTTGTATACTGGGACATACATATCACACAACACTGTATAGTTCCAGGCTTTGAAAGGAAAAAAGCATAAACTAGAAAATTAATATGTTTGATTATATAATCCTTCTAGCAAATAAAATTTTGTAAATGACTGAAGAGTTTTAGCCAAAGAAATATGACTATTCCTCTCAGAGAATTGTATCTGTTCGAATATGAATATAATGTCTTATAGTCAATCTCCAACTTGTTAGGTAACTACATGTGAATACACTCCTTCATTGTTACCCTACTATTAAATATTGATCCTTTATTATATAGTGTCTACCTTACTATAGCCACATTTAGATATATAAATATATACTTGAACATTTTTTCTCATTACTCTTTTTTAAACTCAACAGGCATGACTAAGTGTGTCCACATAAAATAAAGTGATTTCTAACTTGGTGGGAGCACTGGGGAGAACCACTAAGCTGTAGAGGAATTCGGTATAAACGCTTATGATGTGGACAGGAAACATCTACTTGTTGAGATTCAATTATGATTTTTGAACCTTTCCATGATAACAAATATTGTCATTTGCAGCTCCCTTATAGGGATACTTATAATCCTCACACTGTAAAAGTATGTTTTAGGAATTTCTTCTCAATAGTGCTGAAAAATCAAATTTTTTTTTATGATGTTCAATTTGACTGCACAATTTGCAATCCCCCCTTTTTTCATTATTATTTTTTTTAAGTTCTGGTGCAATCCAACAAATACAAAGCTTTCAGTATGATTCTTTGTTGAAACTTATTGGCCAAATTGTGAGCATGGGTAATGAATGGATAATCAAAATATAAATATATTATATACTTTTTAGCATATAAAGCCATCCAGCAACTTAACTGTATTCTTTTCCATATCCATGAGTTATAATATGAAGGGATCTAAATATATCCAAGGGGGAGGGGTGGGAGAGGGCCAATGTGTTAAAGCCAATTGTGTATCATACATAAAAGTGCACGTTAACTACTTGAAAAAATTCACATTTATTTACTGTCAAACCGTGTTAAACTTTACACTGGATATTAGTGATGGGCTCATTATTAACAGGTTTACACAAAGGGATGAAAAGAAAAGCAGAATTTGGCTGAAACAATTTACATTTCATTAGAACTTTATCATAAAATAAATTAATTACTAAATATAGGCAGAAGGAATATGGAAGAGTAATATTTATTTTTATTTTATTTTAAAAAAAAAGAGGCACCTTTTGTTCACTAGCAAGTTTGTGAGAAGTGCCCAGTGCCCTCTCTGCCCTCTGCTCAAGAATAAACGGAGGGGCGACACGCAATCTTTTCTAGGTTTCACCACGGTTGTGCAAGGCATGGCGTAACTGGCTTCAAAGACTTTTCTCCCCATAGAACACGTTCTTTTGGCAATAAGGAATTTAAATGTAAGGATAAAACTAACATGTCAAAGCAGAACACTTGTATACAGTGGAAACTAAGTGACAATGGGCAGAACCATGACAAAGTGTAAGAAAAAAACATAACATGTGCAACCAAGAGCTTTTCACAATATTTTCTTCAAACTCTTTAAAATTATTCTAATGACAATTCTATTTCAGTTGGACACAAATGTATTTATTTTACCCTAGCAATAGAACAAAATATAATTTCTTTAGCCATTTTTTTTTTCATGAGAATAGTTCATTGTACAGTTGAGGAAACATACGAAATAAGGCCTGTGGCTTGATTGCTAGTGGTTAAACATGGTTTCCATCTTTGCCTGAATGGAAAAGATTTGCAGTGAACTGCAAACTGCTGCAGAATCCCTCTCCTGCTTTTCCAAGTCTTGTCAGGAACAGTAAGGTACAGTAAGTGTGTCCCACAGGATTTTAAAGCCTACGTCTTGTATATAATACAATGCAGGCCTACAAAAAAATGGTGCAGCCATATTTACAAATTTAGTTCGCAAACTGCTGCGGTAAAATGGCTGGAAAGTTGCGTTTTGCTCGCTTCACAATTTCTCTAAACAGCAGCAGAATCGGAAAATACCTGTTTGGCATCTCTTTTCTTTGTAACAAATAATTCACTTTAGTATACTCTGTGTATATACAAAGTTTTTCTTGTATGTTTTATAAAAATTCACAGAACGGCAAGGTTCAGTCATCTTTTTTTTTTTTTTTTACACGGGAGGAACCACAGGTCATCAGGGCTGTCTGTGCGGCCGAGTCTGCGTGGGGCCCACGGGCCTCGCTTTGTGAATACTCGCCGGTGGCCCTCGGACCGCCCCGGCTGAGCTATTAAAGGCTGGTCACCAGCTGCATCTGCCCTTCTCTCACGTCCCCTTCGGGGATGCAGCCTTCCTTGTGAATGGGGATGATGTACCCGTCGCTGTTGCCCCTGCTGATCTGGTAGCACGTCTGGAGCTGGTGGCCAGCCCCCAGGTTGGGCATGCTCTTGTAGTAAATGTCCTCGTTCTCGCTCCTCCGGGAGGGAGACAGGTCTTCCTCCATGTCCGGGCTGCTCTCCGGGTAGGGAGAGTCTCTGAGGTTGGGCATGCTCGTGTAAAGAGAGTCCCTGTTGGGCGACTGCAGGTGGTCCTCGGCCTCGGAGGTCAGCTGGGAGACGTAGCTGTCCGTGCCCTCGGGCTTCGCTTTCTTCTGCGGCTGGTACAGAAGGGAGTGAGTCCGCTGAGGGATGAGCGGGGCCTCCAGCTCTCGGTGGTGCAGCTCCAGTCCTGGGTGGTCGCCATGCATGAGAGAGGATGCGTCGGCCACGATGGCATCATCCTCGCTGCTGCTCCCGCCTATCACAGGTTTGACTGGGAGCGTGAGCTCCAGGTTGTGAGTCTTGCTGCTGCCCCGTAGGTTGTTGTGCACTAGCTCTGAAATGATCATTTTCTCAAAAGCGGTATCATTCAGACTTAGTCCACAGTCCACGACCTGCACGCCGTCGGTGTAGTCCCCCTTGCGCAGCGAGTAGCTGTTGTTGAAATTACCATTTAGCGGTAGAGTATCCATGGCACTTGTATCCCTGGCATTGTTCAGTGAATGTCCTGAAACAGACAACGGGGTTTCCATTATTGCCACTGATCCTTCCTCAAAAAAATCATTAACTCTTTGGCACAAAACGTTTTAATGTCGTTCAGGACAAAGTTGTATTTGAAAGCGGACACTTGGAAAGTGCCAGGCTTTCCCGCATCCCCAACTGTAAACAGTTGCACCCCCTTAGGTATCTAATATGAAAACGTGTAAAAGAATAATTCTGTTTTCCAGGGAAGGAAGATGGCATACTGAGTATTACTTGATCAATTAGGGGAGACAGTAGTTAATCGATTTTGGGTCAAATCTCTGACACAAAAAAAGACTTCACTCCATGCCCTTGCATAGTTAATGCAAAGCAATTCATTACTGACAATTGCATTTTAAAGTACGAGACTATGATTTATAAAAATAAAATTAACATAATTTGTCCTAAACAACACTAAATTAAAAAGGAATAAGTCACATACGAAAACCAAAGGCAAATGTACAACACAAACCCACGTAAGTGGCAAGCAACTTTTTTTAAACAACATCTAACATTTCCTTTTTTCTGGAGATGAAATTTAAAAAAAAAAAAGAATGAAAAATATGGACAGATACAAAGAATTCATGTTAAACAAAGACAGCCATCTCTCATACGGACCGGGCCAGGGGCCCACAAGCACCATCCAACAACATGACAGGCAGCAGGTGGAATGACTCACTTTGGACAACTCACATCATGTCTGTCTGCTCAGGCTATCTGGCCTAAGAGTAGCTGATATATAAAAGAAAGTAAAATGATTTATTGTAACATGATGAAGAATTTCTAAGCTTCTCAGCAACTTAGTCAGAGCAAGGGTTCAACAAATTAGGTTACCAGCAATAGCAGCCTTTCCCGTTTTGGTTTAATAGTTCTTATTGTTTTGATATGTACTTTGGAAACGAGGACTCTAATAGCCATGGCCCCAGGCTCCTAATGGTCAAGGTGTTTGCCTGCAGCCCTGCAGTCTGCATCAGTCACAGTGACAGCACCGAATGAACCCGCAGTCTACTGCACGAGACTGGCCCACAGACACTGTGGGCATGGAGGTTAAATGCAGAAATGTTAGAGATTTCTTAAGTATGGGTCACAGAAATTAAACCAAGAATAAATATTCACTATGGAATGGGAAAAGGGTGTTAGCCTTGGCTAATATATTGTTTATCTCTAAAGGAATGAAAGATTGGATAAGTCTGCTGAAGATATGAAAAGAGGTTTAGGAAGAAAAAAAATACGGTAACATGCTCTCTTTGAATCAGAGTTGTATTTTTCTACAGACACATAAACATGTAAACTAGGACATCACAGTGCTTCTCAGGCAAATGGGAAAAAAATAGAGAAAATTAAATGATCTGCACCATGGGAAGTTGGGTTATTCATTCTCAAAATCCTAGAGAAAAAAATAAAATCACTTGTCTACAGATAGGTCTGGAAAAAAAAAAAAAGAATGAAATGATGGTTATTGAAATGAAACTGACCACTGTGAGGCTGCTGCATTGTATGCAAGGCTTGGAGGAGTTTAGGAAAAAAATTCAATTCTTGGAAAAAATAGGCACTTTCCCTTTTTAGTGCTCACTCCACTCTTAAAGCTGCAGATTATCCTAGAAAACTCAATGTCATGACCAATAAATATATGATAATTGTTTGATAAATTATCATTAGTAGAAAATGAGAAAATGGGGTGATTATATTTGTTGGTCACTCATGTTATTTTTTAAAAAAAACTCTGATCCAACTTCTACATTTGAGAAACTGACAGGCCAATTAATATCATGCTCCACATATAACAAAATAAAGCTCTGAGAGCTATTTGTAAGGCTTCCTTTCGCCTGGTTGACACAATTCTCTAGCTTTCTAAGTTCTTATGTGCACCACAGTCTTTATAAGATCCACCACTGGAAAACTGCTGGAGCTTTAAGTTACATGATGGATCACTTGCCAGCATTTGTTTCCTCTGTAGAGGTTTGACCTTGTCTTTTTTCTTTTTCCTTTTTATTATTGCTTAATAAATATAAACATATATACTAGGTAAAACAGGAGGTGTTTTCTATGACATACTGCAGATTTAAGCACATCTTTGACTGGTTTGGAAGAGGCAAATTTTCTGCCCAAGTTCAGGTAATTCACTTGAAGACTTTCCACAGCCTGTAGCAAGATGACTGTGGGAATGCAGAAGTGATAAGTCAATTATTCAGCATTCGGGGTGACAGTACCTCGGGCTTGAAAGAGCAAATTATTTCAGCATTGCGTATACTTAAGTATGGACAGCATTTGCTACAGACCTCTGTTGTTGAGAAAGGGCAGTACAGACAGATGTACTGTTTGAATTTGGTAACGTTTTAGTTGCAAATTGTGAACCACTTGCCCGCTGAGTCTACGTCATGACTGCTAGTTATGTTTTAATTGTGCCGGTTAAAAATCATGCTGAAAAAATTTACATTTGATAGGCAAAGTTAAGTTTTACTCCCATACTTGTCTCTCTGTAGGTTGCTAGAGGAAAGCATAAGGAAAGTGAGAAAAACAAGAGAATGAAAAGAAAAGCTGCAGTTACGTTAAAATAGAATTTCAAGGAAAAAAAAACAGAAACAAAGTTCTTTGTTAAATTTAGTGGTAAATACCAATCACAAATAAAGACTATATGCTAGCAGTAATTTAGCAGCAGTAACTTTTACCAAAATCTTGAAAATTTCTGTTAAACATATATGCTTTTTTAAAAATAAGCTATTAGAAAACACAGTAATACAGGATGGGTTAGTGACAATCTCTCCCCCTCCCCCAACTAAAAAACAAACAAACACAACTATAGGTATAACTGACTGATATTAACTTTATTTTCAAAGCTATTTTAAGAAAAAAGAAAAACCACCATAAAGCTGCACTATACTATAGTGTGGTTACATTGATAATGCTGGATGCCGTTTTCTATAGCTAGGCATCCAATGATCTTTATGAGCTAATCCATTCCAAAAGCAAATTCTGTCGGCAAGCTTTAGAGTCAACTGAACAGAATATTACATAGAGCGGATACCTCTAAGTGATATAAATCTTGAAGATGGGCTCGCGGACCATGTGATGTCAGTCCTGTAATAATATATTAAGATTTATGCCACCTGTGTCAAAAACATGGATAATTATTGGTAAATACTGTCATGACTGAATGTTTACTATAATATAGTGCAGTTTTAGAAGCCTGGCATGCTCAATACCATTCTCTTTCAATTGAGAGACTATGGTTGTAATAGTAAATACATGGCAACATGAATATTCTAGAGAAAGGGCAAAGACCAGAGCTCTGTTTAGCAGCAAAGAAAGGTAGTTTTATTCATAAGTATAAGCACACCTGGTGAGTTAAATACAGGAGCTGAAGGGGCATTACATACAACTGTTTCAGCGAGCAATGTGTTATAGGGGTTGTTAGTGCCGTGGGGTCGAAGAAGAGGATTTGTTAGTAGGTAATTGCCAGTCATTCCTAAAGCAAAAAAGGAAAGAAAAGAAAAGAAAAGGAAGGAAAGAAGAGACATCAGTTCTCTTATTTTAGTGTTACAGTTGCAGTACAGTACTTTTCGTATTCATCAAGGGTAGTGAACAAGTTGGCAACGAAAAATCTGCTGAAACTTTCTGACTGTATTTGAACTACTAATTTGAAGGAGAAAGGGTAGAGGGAAGTTAAATTTCAGTAATTCACAGGTGCCTTCTAACTCCCCCAAGTAAACACCTGCTGAGGATGACATTTACTAATTTATACAAAAAATCACTGTTAAACAAAAATGGCAATTAAATGCACAGAGATCAACATTATGTTTCAAGATGTTACTGCTTAATATTAAAAACCTAACCACGGAGGCCCAGAAGAGGGAATCTCAAACTTTCAGAATTTACAGGTGTGGGATTATCCCTCATGAAAACATCTGTGTTAATACCAGCTTCGATACAAGCAGGAGGAAAAACAACTTCAAACAGATAAAAAGTATGACACATTGCACAAAGCTTCTCTTAGTAAATGCAAGAGCACACATGCTGAAGAAGAAAAGGCTGTGTATAATCAATTATTGGACCATTCATAAATTGTACATAACGAGAATTTTATTTGCCAGGTTTCAAAAAGCAAATCATTGAATAATGCATTTCCTTTTTGATAGTCACCTTAACAAAATTAGGTAGCATCTTAGAGCCATGAATAAACACATTTCACTTATTCTAATTTACAAATTACCAACCTTTCAATACGCATCAAACATGTTTTGCATAGCTAATGTAATTTTGACTAAAAATATTTTAAAATTCAATTTGGTTTTGATGTCATACATACTCCTTTTTTCATTTTAAAGCAACTCATCTAAACAATGGCAACATTAAAAAATGTCATTGTGATAAAATATTACTGCTGTGTTACCAATCAGTACAACAAAACTAAAATCACCTGGATAAATGACCTTTCCACCGACATATATAACAACATGGTATTTTTCATACCATGTTAAAATTTACTAAGCTTGCATTCAGAAGTATGTGTACATGCGTTTGTGTCCTTATCTTGTTAAAATATTTTATTTGCCAACTTATTTAAGAATTACATGATAATGATAATTTTAAAGCTGTAACTGCAGTAATTCAAGGAGAAAAAGAGTAATTTGTAAATTCTCATGTATTTTAGCTTTTTGTTCATGAAGATTTACTATAAATGTTTTTGACACTTTTTATCGTTTGAAAGAAATGTAAAATAAAAACTTTTGCAAATAAGAATCTTCACTACAAAACTGGTACTGTTTAATATGAATAGTGGTTATTCTGATTGTGTTGATGTTTTAAGAAGAAAAGTTTGGTAAATGTCTCGGTTAAAAGGATAAGTTTCTATTCACAAGAAAAACATATGAACTTGTGGCAAAGTATATTATCAGTAATTACTTTTTCTAGCCTTACTCTTAATGCGGAGTTTAAAATTATAATGTTTGCATTACATTATTGAATAAAAAGAATTTATATGTACTTGAATAAAGGATAAAAACTGACTCAAAAGATTTAGGAGCTTGTGATATAAACACATTTGAAAAAAATTCCCCATTTTCTCTAGGATTATTGTAAACTGGCAAAAGGTACAAAATTTATATTGTAAACTCAAATTTTCCTAGTAACTGACCTTGATTAAGTGTTGAAGTGCTATTGATGTCACCTGAGATAAAAGAAGATTCAGATTGTTTTCTCACAGTGTCATTCCACATCCTTCTTATACGACTCTATCAACATAAAATAGCAAGACATGTTATGTTAGTTTCCCCAAATTTACCTTATTAAAGACACACAAAAGATTTAACCTATCCACCTGTGTAGGGTTATCTGTGGGGCTTTTAAAAAAGAAAACGTGTGTGGATTCTAGTCTAAAACTAAGGAAGTCTATACTGCTCTGTTGCTTTTCTACTAGGGGGAATTTAATCTTCTACTCTTTAAAAGTTTTCCTTTATTGCTTTTTTTTAAAATGTAGAGATGACTGATGATTCAACAAATGTTTACTGAGTACCCACAAAGAGCACCGTGCTGTATACAAAGCTTAGGCTATGAAATGATTCTGAGAGACTTTTTAAAGAAGTATACCTCTCAAAAAAAGGATGTTCACACCTAAAGAAACACCTTCAAGAAATACTTAAGAAGACATTAAAACCAAAATACTAAAAAAGCAAGTGTTTGCTATGTAGACATCATTAGAATAAGGAGACAATTAGTGCCTTTGAACAGAGCCCGCCTCGGTAGGCTTTCTATAAAGAAGGCTGACTGAAGACGCTTCAGAGCCCCTGTTACCTGTGTGCCGGAGGAATACCGAGCGCTGGTCCTGGTGGTGGAAGCCTTCACTGAGCTGTGGGGACTCTCCGTTGGGAGGCCGCTGCAGCAATAGGAGTGTCTGAAGCACTTGCCATATTCTTTTCGTACCTGCATTGAACAACCAGGAGGCCATGGGGTTAATACTTGCTTCTCCCTTTCCCTAATCAAATACGCAATGGAGACGACCAAGAAATTCCACAAACATTGCCATGCAGAAAATAAACTGAACTTACAAAAATCAAGTTTAATGGAAACTGTTGTAATCAGAAACAATATATCTGTCCACTAGACTGGCTAGTAAAATCTCTTCAATGTGATATATTAGGTAGTAATGCTTTATAACCTATTATGTAAATGTTATTAATACAATAGCAATATTTTTAAAAGCCTTATTTCCTCTGTATACTTAGGAGCCCCAATTTTATATTTCATGCTAAGAAAACAGGACATAATATTTTCTTGCTTAATTACATTTAACCACGCCTAATTCAGTCATTTAAGTTTTAGATGCTTCATGTCCTCCTTAGGTAGGTCAATGTACATAAACCTCTTTTACTGGATTGCGTAGTTTTGTGGGTAACCTCTTTATAATGACAAGGCTATTTTGGCACAAGAATAAAGGAAAAAAGCACTTTGATAACATGCCATTAATTATGATGGAATGTTTTCTTCATTTCCTGATGTGTTTTAACACTGAGTAAAGAGTCAAAGATGCCTATGCACTTCATTAGCACACAAGGGAACTATTTATGCAATTTCTATTTTCATTAATGAGTTACCTTGTAATTTCCCTCCCCCCTTCTCACCCCACCCCCAAGCTTGGATATAAGAATAGATCGAAAAGTTTTTAGTTCTCAAAGAAAGTTTAAAGTAAACTTTAAAAAGTGAAGTCCCAACGCTCGCTAAATGATGGGGCCCTTGGAGAGGTGGGACGAACTTGGGAGTAGGAGAGAGTCCTGGATTCTATGCAACGATACTGGCACATAAACCTGTCTTGTTGTGGCCAACAGCCAGACTTCAAAATCATAAAACAGACAGGGAGATATTGAGTAAGAAACTCTTTTTTCGAGTAGACTACAAAGCACACTCAAAGGCTTTCCCCCTCCTCACAGTTGTATGCTCTGTATCTGCCAGCAAAGACCATGATTTTGACACTTATTCCTTGCAAAACTAGATAATTAAAGTCACTAGATGACCTTTTAAATCTAAGTGCACTTGCATTTTCCTCCTCTTCGCTTTATTTAATTGTACCTATTAGAACAAATAACAATGAGATTGAACTTTCAAAGCACTTTCTTTGCCTAAATATGCTCACTGAAGTAGTAAACCAGGATTTAAACTACATCACTTTGTATCATATTCTTCACAAGTCACCCTGGCAGCACCAAGAGGATGTGTCTAAGACTAAGTAGGTTATATTCAAAAGAGCTACAGGATGCTTTTAAATGTAATTGTAGTTAAAAAGCATAGCAAAATCTTTGTTCAATTAATACACATAACTCTATGAGAAAATAATGGCTAAGTTTCGGTTTTATCTCAAAATACTTTGGCAGACTACAAATGTGCCTGTATGCACGTATACAAATGCTCATTTATAAAGTAAGAAATATATAAAAACCAAAAGTAATTACAAAGGTTATACCTGAATCATATTTAGAAAGTTAAGATTCAATGTTATTAAATAACACAGCATACCTTATAAAAAAATGTCTGCACATTTAATGGCTATTAACTACACTGCAATGCTGCATTGCCAAGACAATGGCAATGAAAGTGGTACTTTATCCAAATAACACCTCCGGTGTTGGTGTTGCCTAATGCCTATATTGCTGTGAATGTACATTACCTGTCAGGACTGCACATTCCACTGTTATTATCTCAAAATTACAGCTTATTCAAAACTGATGGAGGTAACAACACTATCATCTTGTCAGGATTGAAAACATAATAGTTTTCACTTTCACAATTCTATTTCTCTGTTCAATTTAAGTGACCAACTAGTAATAACAGAATAAAAAGACTGCACTGGATATGCAGGCAGGGAAAAGATGATACCGGAAATTTTAAACTTAAATGATGCTAAACTATTCTCTTGGGTTTGCAGTAGTATTTCATTTTCAAACAAACATTAATTTTTGAATCATTTTTGCTTACTCCACTTAATATAAAGTCAGCACTAAATAATAAAATGTGAGATGTAAAATTATTGGATTTTAGATCTATTGAAATTACTCGCCGAAACCGGTTTGGCTCAGTGGATAGAGCATCGGCCTGCGGACTGAAAGGTCCCAGGTTTGATTCTGGTCAGGGGCGTGTACCTTGGTTGCGGGCACATCCCCAGTGGGAGATGTGCAGGAGGCAGCTGATCGATGTCTCTCTCTCATCGATGTTTCTAACTCTCTATCTCTCTCCCTTCCTCTCTGTAAAAAATCAATAAAATATATTTTTAAAAAAAAAGAAATTACTCAAAAGGCAACATTAATATTAAATTTTTGTATGGCTAGAGCTTTTAAATTAAGGGCATGTATCCTTATACTCAACTTCATTTTGGACCACTGTATTCTCTTTATTGAGCAAAGAACAAGATTATTTAACCTTTTCTTTATCTTGTATACCCTTTGCACAAAGCATTTTATAGACCCCAGTAGCAAAGAAGACATCTTAACATAAATATCTAGTTTATAACAGCCCCAAATTGAGATCCAAAAATGATTGCTATTGAATTCTTTTATACGTGAAGCCCGAATTTCCAGACAGGCATAACAATTACTTTGTGATTAAAAATGTAACGCGATTTAATAATAATATGCCAGTTGTAACTTCCTATCTTCTCCATTATATCTGTTATTTCCACTACAAGAACAAGTAAGCAGAACCCCGCGGCACGGTCACTTACTTTCTTCTGAAGAGCACAGTGAAAGATGAAAATGAACACTCCCTGGAAAGCATTAAAGATGGTGAAGAGATATGCCATCACTATAGTCTCCTCATTAATAAAAAGCAACCCAAATGACCAGGTGAGGCCAAGAAGACACAGAAGAGCGAAAGCGCCAAGCACCCAAGACCTGAAAAAATAAAGTGAATTTCATTCACAGGTTCAGTGAGAGAACAACACACATCACACTTAACTATGAACATATCAGTAGTAGCAGTTGGCTTTCTCTATGTTCACATTCAAATTCAACAGCATTTTGGCTTTAACCTTTCATTGATTAGAGAAGGAATAGTCGCATTTAGTACTGCAGCCTCCAGTGAAAACAGCAACAGCAACCTTTTTTTTTTTTTTTTTTTTACTCCAGAATAAACAAGGTATCAAAACTATACTAAAATTCAACGTATAAAACATCCCCCGGGACTTTATTGGCTTTTATGTGCATTTTTGGTATAAGAAATCAGGAGTCCTTAATGAGGCGACTCCTATCTTTCTATTCCTGTGGTGTACCCACAGCACGGAGTAATGTGACACATACAGAAAGGGTAAATGGCAGATAATCAGCTCCTAAACTTCAGATTCTGGTAAACTAATCTTCGGTGAGCCCTCAGGTTTGTGTAACTAAAGCATGAAGAAGCCTGGCTGAAATGAGACAAAAAACATGGGAATAACTTGAAAATAAAATAATTTTGGAGAAATTTCATCATGAATAGCTTAGGGAGAAAAGAACTGCAGAAAATAGGACGGAATGAGAAGGATTTAAAGGCGGTGCATTCCATGTCTAACTAATGATCTTACTTGATAAATGGCTTATTATCTTCATAGCTAGAAAGCATTATAAGCAGAAAAGAGAAACAAAATTATTAGACAGAATTAAAATAGAAAGTAATAAGAAAGCATTTATATATTTTATAAATTAGTCAAAATTAAGAAAGTCAAAAGGCAGAGGCAAGCAATTAAAAAATAAAGGCATATTATAGTTTTAAAATACTGTAGCAAATTAGACATACAAAAATAATTATAAGAATTAAGGGCAATTCATGATATTGACAGCTTTGTAAAAAATATAAATCATGCCATAAATTTGTTAATGTAGGGTTCTACCTTACCCAGGTAAGTCCGTATTATAGTAGCCATCACAAACACGGTAATTACTGGTGTAGATGAGAAGACAGAAAGAGGAAAAGGAAGAAAAGAGAGAGATGCTAAAGATTAGCTCTCTCTCTTACCATGCAACATGCAATGAAGCTGGCACTAACCTATCTAAATCTTCTAATTTTTAAAAAACTTCCCTTACTATAGATCTGCCATTTTTTACATTCAAAATATTTTTTTGCAATCCCATCATAACCAACTTGGATAATAATTCATCAAAAATTTAAATTAAGGCTCTTATTTAAAAAATAACTGAAAATGCTTCCATAAGATGACTTAGGAGTCAACAACTATCAATTTTTTAATTGGATAGCATTTTTCCATAGATAGGCTACTGCAGTTTTTACTCAACACTGAAATAAAACATTCATTCAATTATCATAAAAACAACAGATAATCTCCACGTTAACAATAGTAATAGAATGTATTCTCTTAGGAAAGCAAGATTAGAAGTAGAAAACTGCTCAGGATCCTTAAATCAAAAAAAGTCATTTAACAAAACAAACTGAGTATAATCTTATCAGCCATGCAAGGAGGAACATCATTTTGAACTGCATTTTAAATTCAAATGAAACTGCTACCATGATATGGAATTTCCACAAAGCTACTGAAACAATTTCTTGGCTCTACATCAAGACAGAAATTATTATCTAATTTTTGACCAATGTCTGTGACGTGGTCACACTGAGACTCACCCTTGTACAGTAAAACCTCATTCTGAATAATTTCTAGTTGAGAAAAGGTACTCATGGATTCCCTGTGGAGAATATCTTGCACTTAGTTTGTCAAGCACTAAGCTTAAAATACAAACTACTTACTTAATGTTCTCCAACCTGCTAGAATCGGGTTTCAAAGTGTTTGAGTGCTTCACCATTTTGCACAATGTGATCACCAGGAATATAATATTTAGCTGTCATAACAAAAAAAAAAAGAATTAGACCACTACAACCAAAGAATAAACAGCACATTTTTGCAAATTTACTTAATGAGTTAATGCAGTTAAATACCAATGACATGAGTATATAATAGACAATGATTCAACTTTAGTTTACATATGCAATGATCCAGTTAAGTCTAAATAATAAAATACTCGAGCTATGTTTGATCGATTTTTTAATAGATCATTTGACATGAAATTGCAGCCTCATTAAATCAGTATCATGTGGTGATGATTAAATAAATTAGATACCTAAATTAGTTTCTTTAGCTAGAGGTACTCCAGGGCCTAAAAGCCATCTAACAGAAACATTAAAGTAAATTCCTTAGGAAAGGCATTTATAGCATGTAGCTTATAATGTAACGATTGATGGATTTGAAATCCTAAAACTTAGTTGAGAGTCTAGCTTTTGATTTTGGTTGATTAAACGAGGGTAATAACATTTGTACAATCTACTTGTAAGGTAATTATGAGGGTCAAATGAAACAAAATATATGAAACAGCTATATAAAGATAAACATATATACATGTATATATATATATATTTAAATATATTTTATTGATTTTTTACAGAGAGGAAGGGAGAGGGATAGAGAGTTAGAAACATTGATGGGAGAGAAACATCGATCAGCTGCCTCCTGCACACCTCCTACTGGGGATGTGCCCGCAACCAAAGTACATGCCCTTAACCGGAATCAAACCTGGGACCTTTCAGTCCACAGGCTGACGCTCTATCCACTGAGCCAAACCAGTTAGGGCTATTCATGTATATTTTGCTATTTGTCTATTAAAAGCCATCAGTTCTTTTTTCCTAGTCTCAATATTGTATGAAAATGGGTAATTTCTGAAAAAGGCTCTTTTGTGTCTCTCTAAAACATTCAGCCGGGGCAAAAAAAATGACATGCAAACAAAAGCAAACTGGGGAAGATGAAACCTGGCAGGGAAGGAAGGTTTGGAAGATAAAGACAAGTGAACTCAGAAGAAAGGAGTTGGGTTTTGACTGAAGAGAGGTAGTTTGCATTTACTTCTACAGTCACCTGGCAGAATGCTGGACAGAGGGAAGGCAGTTCCATTTTTATATTGTAAAAATAGAACTACACTAGATTGCTCCTGGATTTATTATTATTTTTTTAAATATATTTTTATTGATTTCAGAGATGAAGGAAGAAGGGGAGAGAGAGAGAAACATCAATGATGAAAGAGAATCATTGATTGGCTGCCTCCTGCACACCCCGCACTGGGAATCGAGCCCACAACCGTGGTATGTGCCCTTGACCGGAACTGAACCTGGGCCCCTTCAGTCCTCAGGCCGATGCTCTATCCACTGAGCCAAACCAGTCATGGATGTCCTGGATTTTTTGACATTTACTTTGGATCATTCTTTTAAAAAAGGCAAATCAATTTTTTGTGAGCTGTATATGACTTAAAGACAGTACAAGCCCAAATGGTATATTCAAGAAAAGGCTCACTGAATGTAGGATGAAAGCAATTTCTTGCTGGTAGGTAATCGACATAACTTTGGTAGAGTAACATGACTCTTTTTACTAAGTCCCCACACCACATGACAAAATGATACCATATTTTAGCCATTCATCACTATATTAGGAAAAGTGATACAGGGCAATAAATAAAATTTCCAAGTCCTTCCCAATGAGTTTGGGCACACAGAAAAGGCTTTACGCTATTTGTCAGTCATTTTGTTCACTGTGCTGTATTTCTCTTAGATGTAGAATTTCTTCTTAATGGAAAAAAAGAGGTTAAATAGGCACAATTTGCAAGTGTTGGTCAATAGTGTTCTATGTTCATTACTTAAGGACAAAAGAAGCCCTTTGTTTAAACCAGTACTTAAAATTAATTTCTTAAAGTACTTGTACAGAGAAAAAGCACAAACATTTGTAAAAACACTTTTCTAGTTTTACATTCTGAGTATCATGTCAGTTGGTCACAATATAAATAAATGCTTACACTTTCAGGGATATGCACTGTCATACATTTTATTCAACAAATATTTACTGACTTTACTACACAGATATACTTATTGTATTATTAGACACTTTCTGCCTTGGAAAAAATTAGAGAGGTCTTCAGGCAGCACATTAAATATCTGATTTGGTTTTAAAAAAATTATGACACAGTATATCTTTAATTTTTTTAAAAGGAAAAACAACAGTGTTCTTATTCTTTTTATTTTTTATTTTATGCAACAGTAAACCTTAACTAGTAAATTTAAGGAATGGTTAAAAACAAGAACTCTAAATATCCTAAAAACAAACAAACCAAAACCCATAAAAACCAAGTGACTACAACTCTTAGATAAGAAAGGCTGCTTTGTCGAGTCAAAGTTAAAATCCTTTAAGCCTCTTGACTTTTCTTCTTGAATGTCCTAATTTAACTACTTTTTTTCTTTTATTACAAACTTTTGGACCTAGGTTGTCATTCAACCTTTCTTTTTCTTGAACAATTTCCTGAAGCATAGATAGATCCTCAATTTGGTGTTCATTATTTTCTAAGCATATTAATTACCCCCTAAAGATAAAATAATAGTAGTAGTAGTAGTAGTATAGTCCAGGGAGAAAAAAATGTTATTACCCCCTACAATGTAAAAACTATAAGAAAATAAAGAATGTGAATGTGAAAAAATGTGGATATATATAAGTATTATGCTATGAAAAGAAAGTGAGTACAAAATATGAAATCTTGGAGGTGAACACATCCAAACATATTTTTCAATGGAGAAAATCAGGTAAAGATCAATAATACATTTTTGAATAAACATAAAATCTAAGTACATAAAAATAGAATTAAAACTAAGTATGATACAAAGACATTTCCATCTTGATAAGACTGAGGACTAAACAAGTAGAAGGTGCCACAGAAAACGTACCTTATTTCATCCTAAAAAAACAGACTGCTAGATGCATTTTCCCTTCCTCTCTCTTTCCCCTATGGAGGTTAACATTATATATGTGTGTGAATGTTTTCTAACTAAAAATATAATACATTCACAATACATAAAGTTCTGAAATTACGGGGGGGGGGGGCACCAACAACAATCTATACTTTTACTCCAGACGTAGTGGCAGGCAGTACTCTCCCCCTTCTCTCTTCTACTCCTTTCTTGTTCTCTTAAAATATAACTAGACAGCCATTTTACAAATCTGCGATGTTAAGTATCTTGCCGAAGGTTATTTAGCTACTATAATGTCAGTGCTGAGATTCAGTATACCAACTTATTCTCAGAGAAAATATCAGCCTTTAAACAAAACAAAGATATACTAGTTGTATATTTTAAAAAGTGTTCCAGCCCTAGCCGGTTTGGCTCAGTGGATAGAGTGTCGGCCTGCAGACTCAAGGGTCCCAGGTTCGATTCCGGTAAAGGGCATGTACCTTGGTTGCGGGCACATCCCCAGTAGGGGGCGTGCAGGAGGCAGCTGATCAATGTTTCTCCCTCATCGATGTTTCTAACTCTCTATCCCTCTCCCTTCCTCTCTGTAAAAATTCAATAAAATATATATATATTTTAAAAAGTGTTCCACTTCTATGAAGAGTAATCCAATTTATAAATCACTCAGATGATGAATGCCTTAGAGATAAATAATAAATGAATGAATGTATAAAATACAGCCTCAAAGAAATCCTAAATAACATGAGGTGTGTGCTTGTCATGGTGGAAATAACTTCCACCTGATGAACTTGCCAAAATAGCTAATTCTCCATTTCCTTTGTAAAATACTACCATCCCAGCCTCAGCAAATGGCTGAAATGCCCACACACTTCTACTCCACTAGCCAAACTGTATGTTTAACATACAGTTGTGTTTTCTCAAACCTGTTCGTGTTAAACTCACGTAACTAAATGTCACACAAAGCCATGAAAGCTGAGTGCAAAAATAAGGGCTATTGTTTCTAACATACTTAATATCAAATGTTTCTCAGGTACATTTTAAAAACAAGTCTCTTTAAAACTAACTAAATGTAATCCTATCTAATAAAGATAGAATATGCAAATTGGCTGCCACTTCACAACAAAGATGGCAGCGCCCAGTCCCCTCAGCACCACCAGAGTCCCCCAGTCCTTTAAGCCCTCACTGTGGGGGCGAGGGGCAAGCAGGCCCCTGCAGAGAGCAGACAGCCGGGCCCTGCATGCCCCTTGCCATGGCGCCAAGGGGAAAGCAGGCCCCCGCAGAGAGCAGACAGCCGGGCCCCTACAGCAAGCAGACAACAGGGCCCTGCTTGCCCCTGGCCATAGTGGCAAGGGGCAAGCAGGCCCCCCAGAGAGCAGACACCAGGGCCTGCGGTGTTGTCAAGCAGGTAGGTCCGCAGAGAGCAGTAGGACATCCCCTGAGGGCTCCCAGATTGGAGAGGGTGCAGGTTGGGCTGAGAGACACAAATTTCATGCACCAGGCCTCTAGTAGAAAATAATCATAAAACTGCAGAAGGATACTTGACTCAGATTCTTTCAAAGGTGTCTGTGAATTCTCCCATTTATGCTAAGTGAAGTAAACCAGTCAGAGAAAGACAAGTATCACATGATCTCATTTACATAAGGAATCTAATGAGCAAAATAAACTGACAAACAAAATGAACCCAGAGACACTGAAGCATGCAACCAGTCTGACATATTCCAGAGGAGGCGGGAAAGAGATTAACCAAAGAACTTGTATGCATATGTGCATATCCCCTGGTCACAGACAAGGGTGTGGTGAAGGCTTCGGAAGGGAGTGGGAGCGGGGTGGAGAGGGTTAATGGGGGAAGAAGAGTGACATCTGACATATTTTCAACAATAAAGATAAGAAAAATAGAAGTAAATAAAGAAATTGAAAATATAATTATAGCCAATGCACTAATATTTAGATCCCAAGAAATTTATAATTAAATCCAACACTAATTTAGCCTTTGAAATATGACTTGAAGATAGACAAATGGTGAGGTAATGGTATCTTTAATAGGACGAGAAATGCCATCATGTCAAGTCAAAGTAATTATGACAAAAGGCCTGCAAGACATACTGTAAAGCATAATAAAAGCTAAGATACTTCTCCCCAACTCCACATGTAAAAGAAGTCACTAATACATATTTACTAGTTTTATTAGACAAATGAAAAAAAATATATCATTTAGGTATTGATCATTTTAATAACTTACCACCAACATATATCACAATGAAGTATTTTCTGTACTTAAATACAACATATACTGAAGTGTAAACAACATTTTAGTGTGAACTTAGAGTTCTTCTATTTTTTTCTAATGCTTTAAAAATGTAAATGCTGATTTTTATTTTCAGAGAACAAATATTGTTGCTATGATCTTTTCAGGAGATAATATGCTCTAATAAGGATCATGATTTTGTAGAGTAAAATATTTCAACAGATTTCCCCCCATCTCTTTTCTACTCCTTTCTTATTCTCTTAAAATACAACTGAAAATCAGAACAAATAGGTAAGTAGAAACCTCTTTGATAAAACCTATCATTCAAAATAGCCACTCGAAGACTGAAAGGGTTAATTTCAAGTAAAGAACTGGCTGTGATTCTGGGTCCTTTCTTCTTTGCACTTTAAGAGGGACATAAACGGCTCTTTCCAACCATATACTTCTGGGCTGCTGCTTCTTTTTTTCCCCTTTGGTTAGAGTAAGTGATTTCTTTTTTCTCACTTTTATTTCTTCCAATTTATTTTCCTGTGTTTGGTATGCATTTAAGAAATAAATCACAACCTTCAAACATGAAATCTCCCCTATTTCTCACTGGGGGGCGGGAAAAAAGACCAGGAGAGAAGCTGCTCTCCACTATCTAAGTGCTGCTCTTCTCCCTCCAATTCAACACAGCCACTTTTTACTCCCCCATCTTGTTCCTTGTTTTTTCTTTCCCACATGACTACTACTGAGTTTAAACATAGTTATTTGGGGATAGGTTGGAAGGTGTTATGCAATGGAGAGAAAGGAAAGACTCAGTTACAAAGATTTGTCTAAACCTGGTAGGTACATGCCATTATTCAATCCTTCACACAGAAGCCCCAGATAAGCACAGGTTATATAGGTTGTGCTACGTTGTATGGCAACTCACCAACCTAAATGTCCATACTGATGACTAATTCTGAAGATGAGGCAACACAACTAGGAATTAATCAAATTTTAACTCCACTCTGTGTGTGTGTGCACATGTGTATATATGTGCTTGCACATGCATGTGTACACAGGTAAACAGCTATATAGACGTCTCAACAGAATTCTATGCACAAAACTGACAGCAAATTCAGAAGAAAAATATTTTCCTACCTAGCTAAAGAATAGTGAATCACCAAATAGGGGGATTCTTTCTCTTGCCAATAACACATAATATTCTTTTACCTACTCCAAAATATCAACTTTATAAATTGTTTTAATAATCCTCCAGTATAATTTGCTGATAAAATTCATCACCACTTAATGACAGGCACAGCTAGTCATCACCCATATTGATGACATGAGAAATTTAAAAATACAAAAAGGCTCCACAGATTACAGGAACGCACAGTTTGCACTCCAGTCATCAACCTGCTCAATTGGATCACATCCGCCTGAGCTTAGCAGCTTAAAATTCATCCCACAGCTGGCAGTGCTGACACGGATATGATAAGACAGAAGCACAGAAACACCACTCTGAAGCAACCTAACTGAACTGCACATGTTCTGACCCTTTTTTGTCCTCCCTGGAGCTTTTGCTACCTGGCAAATGCAACTCTAAAACTGCACTTGTATCTCCAGATCTTTGCTGTTAGCCAAGCAGAAACCTATTTCTCCCAGGGACTGGCAACCAGAGAGGTGTTCTCTGAAGAAAACTTCTAAATGAGTGTGTGAGCTGAACTCTTACTGAACTGAATTAATTATTAATGATGCAGATGGAGCTGTCCAAATGATAAGAATAGCTCCTGAGGTGTCATGATCCAAGCTTTCATTAAACCATTTCAGGCATACTAATGGTTTCCCACTGCTCATTACTTGCAAGCACTTTTCTCATAGATATAATAACTCTAGTGGCCTGTAGGCGAGACACTCAATAGAAACATAGAAGTAGGAAGTTTTATCTTCCATAGCATGTTATTTTTCTTCATAGAACATTATGAAAGATGTACATTTGTTTAATATTACTAAGTTAAACAGTTTCAATTCAGAAAAATTGGAAATGAAAAACTTGTTATAAGAATACTCCTTAGGGGGTGGAGGGTGGGTGGGGAGAGATTAATCGGGGGAACTTATATGCATTTTTGCATAGCCCATAGATACAGACAATAGTGTGGTGAAGGTCTGGGGAGGGTGGATATGGGGTGGAGGGTGTCAATGGGGAAACAAAAGGGTCATCTGTAATACTTTCAACAATAAAGACACATTTTAAAAAAAAGAATATTGCTTAAAAATGTAAGGGATACCATATAATTTATATTACTAAGATTTGTGTCTAAATTGCCTTTCAAAGGTCCTGTATTTCCAGAAGAATATATACAGGTAAATCTATTAATATTCAAAAAAAGGTGTATTCTACAATGGTATCATATCTCAATTTAGGTTACACGCAAGATAATGTTTTACACTCTATTCCATTCTGTCTCTGTGCTGGGACAATTAGAGGGCAAAGCAATTGCAAGAGAAGAATCGCTCTCAGGATCTTTAACTGTGATTGCTACCTGCTGTTTTGTTTTGTTTTAAGTTGGGAACCCTGTTCCCCAAAGCCCTTCACATCTCAACTTAAATGATCTGGTAGAGGATAATAATGACACTGTAAAATGGGCAATATAATAAAATGTCCTTTACCTTTTCTTACCGGAAACTGAGTATATGTGAACATTAACTCCTTCTGCCAAGTGAAACCATTTTTATTGTTCTAAAGTCAGTATTTATTTTTAGAGATGGAAAATAAATAAAACTGCAGTACAAAAGAAGACATATAGACCAAATATCCCTAAAATGTTCTTTAAAATATTCAAAATATCACTATATTTGGTCAAAGGCTAAGAGGGAAAAAAGAAGCTTGTATCTATAAGGACTGTATCCTTTCATGTTAGCTATTTGTCTTATAATTCAACCTAGGCTTAGGCTGTGTTAACATCAGTAAACCAAGAACGAAAACTGGGACAAGCATCTGGATTGAGTAGTTCCGACAAGAAATCAGCTTTCTAAGCAACACTTTTCCTGGTCTGATTCATACAGGCATTCATCTCAAGTTTTCATTTGGCTTTGTATAATTGTGTTAAAAATTCATTTTAGTGACAAATGTACGTACACTTAAAGTAGTTTTAAATTTCCTTGAGTTACTAAAATTTTTCTCAACTTTGTGAAACACTAGTTAACCACAGAACTATCCTAAGGAGCTCATTTGTGTCCCTTTTTAAGAAGAAGAATGCTTAAACAGTAATAATACTGAATGCAAACTGTAATTGAAAAATTAAAAAAAAAAACTACCCTAAAAAGAACTCAGGATATGGACATTTATTTAAAAGTACTAAATCACTGTGTGAAAATTAAGATAGTAAATATTAAGCTAATTTTCTTTCACTTTCATAAAATATTCATTTAATTCATAAATGCCATATAGGCTTGGTACAGGACAAATATTATAGATTTTGGAGACAGAACTTCCTGAATTAAAATTCTTAGCAAAAACACTCCACTACTTAAAAATGAAATATGCTATACATATCAGTTATTCCTTTATAATTATCAATCTAGTTTGAAACCATGCAATCTTAACATGTTTTATATATGAGTAGATTTTCAAAGATTGTATTTTTTTTTATCAAACTGAATTAAAAATAAGAAAAAATACTTTTTACAGGAGAGAGGATTTCACAAACTACTAATTAGTAAGTGTATGAACTCTCAGTAATGGTATAATATTTAAAATATACTATATAATTTTATCCCATAAGCTAGATGGGTTTATAATGATTGAAGGCATAGATAAGTAACAGTAAAACAAAGTATCCCCTTTTCAACAGCACTGCTAAAGCAGCAAGCCAAAAATGAAGGGAAGGTAGGGTCTGCTTACCAGAATAATGAAAGTAACAGGTCCAATGAAACTCCATATAAAATAGTTATCAACATGAAGCCAGCAACTATTATAGAAAGAAAAATAATGTAGTAAGTAGCTTCAATGGATACTTAACATGACAAGGAAAATATAAATTTTAAAATCTAATAAAAGTGCATTTACATTTGCCTTTGAAAATTCATTTATCATGGGTAAGAACAATTTTATTAATTCTAGGCTGAGCTTCACATAAAAAAAATAGAAATATATTTACTTTACCCTATTGGTTTTCACTTCAGGTTTTAAATTTGATAAAGACATAGTTATGTTTGTATGAGGAAATAATAAACATCACCACATCCCAAGCCCTAATTCTTAAGATCACTGACTTTACTAAGAAAAACTTGAAACTCAATATTCCAAATTGTCTCATCATTTTAAAGCTATCTTCAATTTTTGCCTTGCAGATCTATATGTGAGCTTAAAGTGCTTAATCCTGGGGAACATAATAGACAAAAAAAAAAGTTTACATTATATTTGTTGCAAAACTGCATAGCATAAATAAAATACCTCAACTGAGAATGGATAAATACTGGGGGAGAAAAAATCAAAGCACAGACTCATACAGTATTAGAGTAAATGATGCATAAATTTATTAAGACAGATTTTACTTAGTGGTTCATTTTTCACATAACACTGAATCCCCACTGAATTTCTTTTATTTGTCTTTCATCATCTGTACAGTCAAAAAAGCTTTCTTTAGTCCAAAGAATCTTTATATAACTAATTTTATCAAAGGAAAAAATAAACAGAATTAGAAGGCAAATTCATGCCTCTAGCAAATAAAATCCTTAGAAACATGGCTATGTCCTACTTTCTGTCACTTTCCATAAATATCTATATTTTTATAAATGAAAGACAGTGACTTATTTTAATCCTTTCAAACTGCCTGATAAAATATTATCAAAGTAAAACATATGGAAAGGAATGTGCTACTGTCACAATTCAGAATGAGAGTTAGCTGGAGGGCTGGCTGCACAAAGAGAACTAATGAAGCATTAGCTTAAAACTGAGTAGTTAGACCTGTCAGATGCTTTAAGTTCAGAAGGATTTTTACTTAATATCTTTCTAGGGCCAAAAAGTTATTTACTTTTCCAATTTGTTTCAGGTCAATCTTTTGTATTAAAAAAGAAAGTCCATAATTTAGAATCTGCCTCAGCAGAGTACAAATCCTCTGAACCTAAAAAATTACAAAAGACTTGATTGTAATTTGCACACGGCATGCCCATTCTCTTCCAATAAAGCTTTCAGAGGCTATTTTAGTCTGTCAGGGAACCTCACTGACGGCTAACAGGCTTTAAAAAATTATTCACTTGAAAAACACTCAGGTCGCTTGCAATTACTTACGCTTTTTCTGTTCCATAGCTCTTATAGTCAATAGCAGCTGAAACTCCAACCACTGTGGCAGGAAACAAGTAACCAGCAACATAGTAATATTTCTTCCTTGAATATTCACTTTCAAAAACTTCAACTAACATTAGATAGAGCTGCACACCTTCTAAGCACATCCAAGCAAAAGCAGCCAAAAAGAAAAAGTGTAGAAGTCCTGCAAATATTGAGCATGCAATCTATAAAGAAAAAGAAAAAAAAAAACAAAAACAAAACACAAAGAACACATGAATGGAAACAGCCCACTTCATAATTGTAAAAAGTCCCTGATGGTGCTCACCACTGTCTTTAAAAATATATCATTATTTAAATACTGCTTCTTTAAATTTTTTTTCAAAAATGGAAATGAGTTGCAAACACTGCCAAATTTGGAAAGTGTAATGCTTAGAGTATATATAATATGCCAGGTGTGCTAGAAATTTCACCACTCTAAAACATTACGATTTGTAGTGAAATTTTTTAAAAATTAAAGAAATAAAAAAGCATCTTAATTTCTTTCCTAGAATTATCCATGATTAACACTTAATACTCTACTTGCAGATGATCTGTTTTATTATAGAACAGTTGTTTCCAAATATACTATTTCTATTTTTTTCTATTCCAGAATTTTAAAAATTTGCTTTAATGACAAATACCCCAGCTCTAATTACCTAACATTACTTTCCTGTCATATGTAAAGGATTTTTAAATTCAGCCCAGTGCAAATGAATATAGGGTGAAAAATTAACTAATTATTAAATTATGTTCATAACACAAAAAAGTCATAATGAATAAAGTGCTCAGAATATGAAGAAATGATCACTGGGCAGAATAACTATGTGAGAAAATTAAAATTGTAAAAACAGAATCTTTCCATTTCAGTATCCCAGCATTCTTCTAATCAAATTATGTGTCTTAGTAACAACCCAGAAAAATGTCAACTGTACCTTACTATGAGGAATGAATGAACTCATAATTTTATTTAATGACTGGGCTGCTTTTTAATTTACTACAAATTATCCTTCAATTGTGCCATGTCAATTAGACTGTTAACAAGGTCAAATATTAATATCAGCATACAAGGATGAGGGGATTCACACTTTTCATCATAATTTTCAGAGATTCAAGGTCAATAAACTAAAGGGGTGCTTACCATGTAGTCTGTCTTATCAATGCCTATTAGAAAAATAAACTCAGCAATGAAAAGGTTGATACAAAGATTCTTGTGAATTGTGTTACGGTCACTCTGGAGACCACGGAAAAAGCAGAAGGTGAAAATGCAGATAGCCAGGCAAACAAGGGAAATGACAATTCCGACCCAGGTGATGACTGTCAGGAGTAATTCGTGAACTCCATCTTTGTACTGAAAATAAAAACATAAAAAACATTAATATTCCTCATTACAGCTCAAGGTGAGTTTTCACATGTGTTATAGTTCATCTTTTAATACTAAACCCTCTGAACACTCATGTGTGCTCCAATAGGGCAATTTACTAGAAAGTAATCCAATTATTTCAAAATGATTGAAATGATTACCTAAACATAGAAAATATAAAATAATAAAGAATATTTAGTAATGATAAAAAACAATTGGTATTAAATGACTTCCCAGCTAACATGAGTCAAATTTTAAGTTTTAACTTTCTCTTTGGGTTTTTATATTATACTAGAGGCCCGATGCACAAAATTCATGCAAGAGTAGGCCTTCCTTCCCCCAGCTGCTGGCACCAGCTTCCCTCTGGCACCCGAGACCCAGGCTTCCCTTGCAGCCCTGGCTTCATACAAAAGGTCATCCGGAAAGACATCTGGTCTAATTAGCATATTGCACTTTTATTATTATAGATTTTATACTAAGAATCAAGTATACAACAGTTCTGAGAGCTTTCATGCTGTTCCTTAAAGTATTTTTATCTCCTGGCTATTATTTTCTTAATCACATAAAGAAATACTAAGGAATATTCCAGTAACCATTCTGGCCTTTCAAAATCTGCACTTTGCAGTGAGCAAAATGATTAGGAAACTTAAAAGTTGTGAAATGAGATTCGAACATTCAAGAGGAGGAGGGTATGAAACTTTAGAGCCCTCTCTCTTTAGTATGGCCTACTTCAATCCCCAACCACCTCTGCCAGACACCTGCCCATAGGAGAAAAACTCAGAATAAGTCCGAAAAGCATATGATTTTGAGAAGTAACAATATAGTGCCAAGGCTTCCTAAAATGTATGGCCAGTGTAGAAACAATAAGAAATCCACATTACTCTGCTTGCTTTTTAATTACAACTAGCACCCAAAGAAGGAATTGTCACACAGCTGTTTTGAATCTCTGAGGTTTTTCTCTGCCACTAATTAGAAGTGCAAATACTTACTGCAATTTCCCTGTGGGCCATAAGAATTGCAAAATTGGTTAGGTGGCTGCATGCACATGTTGTACGAGTTTTATTAGTGTCAACCAGCTTGCAGCCCTGGGTAGACCAATATCCCATCATAGTTCTCTCTGAGTAGTTCCAGAAGGAGCAGTTTGCATTGAAGTAATTGTCAGGCTGGGAAATAATGTGACAAGATAAAATTAGGATTTTTACACTCTAACATGGCAATAGCAATTGTTTAATATGTGTAAAAGGTAATTTAGATTAAACTTTGTAAGTTTCGGACTATAAAATTTTTCATCAGCAAAATTGTAGACTATGCTATGCAAGGCAGATATCTAACTTAAGAGGAGCTTTATAGTCCAAAACACTCTAAAGTGTTCCATAAATTACCAAAGACCCATTTTACACAATTACGATTTCCATCTTATGATTTTATATATTGATCGCACATTAGAACCATTTCTTTTCCTTTTCTGACAAAATCAGACCCGTGGATTTGTTCTAAGAAAACTCTGTAAGGACCAGGTGTTTTAAAATCAATTTCCCATGTAGAGCTCGTGTTTATTCTCAGTGACACATTTGCAACATCAGGATTCTTGGAAGACTGAATCAACTGCAGCAGATACAAGACGAGAATAGCCACACACATTTATTTTTCTTTGCCAATTCTGGAGGTCCACTGGGTTATCTGTGGGCACATATTCACTCTACGTATAACAATAGCCCAAATTCTTCAGTCTTCCAACACAGTGTAATTCTTTAACTACCAACTTGCATTCTAAGGCATATCTCTTCCATCCTAGACTTGGTAACATCCGGGCTTGATAACAATTGGGTCAAATATGATCAGGAAAACCAAAAAGAGATCTGCCACACTAAAAAGGCAGAGTCCTGTCAGTTAACACTGGGCTCTCCGGCTGCTAAGGTAAGAGTTGATTTTCATTCTAAAACAAATTATAGTCATTTACATTTTCCTGTTGATTACTGTATTAACGTTCATTAAAAATACACTTCTGCTGTAATAATCACTGAACCTCATTTAGTTTTATGTTCACAGACTTAAATACACTTGTCGTTCTGACCTAGTCCAACATTTGAAATTCTAAGGCAATATCCCTTCTTTCCACTCCGTCATCTCTCCATTCCTCCTCTCCCCATGCCCAGCGTGTCAGCTTTGCTTTCCTTCCTCACTGGTTTTCTAACCTTCCGCGACTTTATTAACATACATAACTTACATCAATGTGTGGCAGGGTAAAAAGCACAGGATCTGTCAAGTACACTCGGCTGGATTCTTTATTGATTGAAACCGAAATGACGTGGGAATTCACTGCAATGGTGCTATTACGACCAATGAAGTCAGCACCCAGTTTTATGGTTGCATTTTCTGTGCTGAGGAACTGTCCCAGGCTCCGGTAAATGATGAACACCAACTTTGCAAGCCCTAGGAAAGTAAAAACAGCCACACGACTTTACGGGAAACACACTTATGAATAATAATAAAAAAAAATAGATACATTAAAATAAGAATAAAATGAAAGAAATCCTTATGGAAAATCTTTACTTCAATTGAGTTCACTGGGAAACAGTAAGGCATTATTTTAAATCTGCTGTTAAATGTTACGGTGTATTTGTTATATCAGGAGTCAAATACTCAGCATTTTAGACCTAACAGGTTTAAGCAAACAAAAAAACCCTGTCAGTTTTTAAGGAGTTCCACCTT